AAGAGCTCATGCTGAAATTTCTTGAACACTCATTATAATAAGAGAAAAGCAACAAGTATCTTTGAACTAGCAGATATTCAAAATGGAATGGGAAAAAGAAGCACCCAACCCAAAAGAAGGCAAGGAAGAAGAGAAAGAACACAGAAGTCAGGAAAAATAGCACAGAAGGTACAATGAGGACAGTAATTGCGGGAATATGGAATGACTCACAGTAGTGGCATTAAATGAAACAAACTAGGCCAGGCATGGTGGTGCACACCTGTAATCCCAGCAACTTGGGAGGCTGAGGCAGAAGAACACAAGTTTGAGACCAGCTTCCTCAATTTAGCAAGGCCTTAAGCAATTTGGCGAGACCCTGTCTCAAAAGTAAAAATAAAAAGGGTTGGAATTGTGGATCAGTGGTAAAGCACCCCCAGGTTAAATCCCTGGTACAAAAAAAAAGTAATGAATTAAATGGCCCAATTAAAAGATTTAAAATGCTACATTATTATTAAAATGATATGGTTTACAATGTGTAAATAGAACACAAAGAACATAGAAAATTTGAAAGTAAAGGAGTGGGAGTCATATCATGCAACCCCTAACTTAGGAAAGCTGATGTAGTAGTTCCACTAACATCAGGGAAAAGCTTCAAGACCGAGACTTCTGGAAGTGAAATTGGTCGGTTTATAAAGATAAAAGGAGGATGTCACCAAGAAGATAATAACAACTATAAATGTGTATGCTCACCTAAATATGACCCCCAGATTGTAAAATAGTTTGTTTTTATAAAAACAAAATAAATAAAATTGCAACAGAAGTAGAAGAAACAGTAAAATACACAATCAATTGGTGGGAGCTATTTTTAAAACTTTCTGTTACTAATTATTAATTTCAAATTAATAGAACAAGAAGATACTGTCAAAGTACAAAGTATTTGAATAACAAATTTAAAAATTGACACAATGGGCATGTATAGTATGTTTTACCTCACAACTGCGGACTACATATTTTTTTAAACGCTGTGGAATAATTACAAAAGTAATATTAAAAGAAATCTCTGCCCTCAACCCCTTTCTTCCCGCAATACGTGCTAATATTCAAGAAGGTCAGAGAAAATGACATTTTCTTTAAAAACACAATACTGATTATAGGTTGGGTGATCAAATTTTACAAATGAAAATGTAGAACTCTCAATTAAATTTGAATTCCAGGAAGGCAACAAATAATTTTTTAGTATATCTCAACGTCATACTACAAAAGTGTTCATTGCTTCTCGGATACTCTATGCAGTGCCTGGTATTTTTTTCATCAGAGAGAATTGTAATGAAGGGTCATTTGGGGGCTCTTGGCTAAGGCATGATCTGCTGAGTTCCAACTCCATGAGGCCTGGGAGAGAGAATCATTCTTCTGGGTGCCTCTTCCCTCCAGAAGTTCCTGACTATAGCCCCACAATTCAGTGCTCCACTCAAGGAAGGGACTCCCCCCAAAGTGGGCTTCCAAAGTTAACCTACCCTTCCCTTCTGCTTGAGTTTAGGCTATGAAAGGGGATAAATGCAGTCATGGTAACAAACAAACACAGTCATAATTTGCAAAAACACAGACATTTTAACTTTAATAAGTTATAAAAGTAAAGAATCAGATTTTACTATACAGAAAAAAAATGCATTGATTGTTGTTATCAGTAAGATAAAGATTTTGAGATTTGAGTTCAGCACCTTGGTGGTTCCATAAGA